GGGCAGAAATAAGAGTTATAAACAAATAATTGGAACACAATGTAATAAGTGCTATGAAAGAAGTATATATAGGAATACTATATAATATTGGAAGTGTTTGCTCTGTGTAAGGTAGCAAGCAATCAAAGAAGGCTTCACTTATGAGAAAAAAAATGCTTGATATATAAGAGGCCTCATATTAAATTATTTTTTTATTTGACAGCAAGTGGGCACAGGCACACGGGGGAGGGGCAGAAGAAGAGGGAAAGAGAATCCCAAGCAGAATGGGTGCAGAGCCCCACATGGGGCTCTATCCCAGGACACAGATAATGACCTGAGTCGAAATAAAGTATCAGACAACTAACCAACTGAGCCATCCAGGCACCCCTATTTAAATTAAATACTGATGAAACTCATCAGTTGAAACTTAAAGGAAGAGCAGAGTTTGCAGATGAACAATCAAGATAAGGATATTCCAGAGAGAAAGAAGCCTTATTTGCAAAAGCACTAAGTTTCAGAAAATCCTAAGCAGTTTAGTATAGCTAAAAAATACGATTCTTGTGACAAGTGGTGAAGAAGTAATAATAGGCTAGGTCAGGGAGGTTCTCATTTGCCATGTGAAAACTGGACTTTATCCTGTAAGAAACTTGAGCCTTTCTTAGACTTTAAAGAGGCCATTAGTTTACAAAAATTACCTTGTCAAATATGGAAAAACAGATGTGAGGATGGGGACAATCTTTTAGAAGTATACCACAAATAGCCAAGGTAATACAATTTATAATTTCTTCACTTAAGACACCTATACATGTCGTTTCCAGTAGAAGCTGATGACTTCAAATGACTGATGAAGTCATCCTGATGACTTCAGGAAAAATCCTGAAGAAAAAAATACAAGAAAATATGGGAATAACAAGAAAATACCTACCTGACATTGTGGATGTCTCACAGACATTTCTAGCCTAAATGTCCAAAACCAAAGTCTTATTTCTCTACCAAACCCGTGTGCTCCCTGTGCAATCTCTCAGTAATAGTACAACCATGCAAGTTACTCAAACCAGTGACGTGGGTTCACTCTTGATTTCTCCCTTTCCTTTAGCCACCAAATTAAATCCATTCATTACTAATTATTTCTAAGGCATATCTCAAATGCATCCATTTCTTTCCAGGTCCATTGCCATCCCAAGCTATCACTGCTCTACTGGAATACTGCAATAGCTCCCAAATGGACTCCCTGACATTATCCTTAATATCAGTTGGTTTCCTTAAAGCACTTATTATAATTAGCAATTCCTTTTATCTATTTACTTGAATTTTGTCTTTCCCTCCTATTCGAATGTCATCATAAAATCAAGGACCACTAACTGTCTTGTTTACCATTTTACTTCAGCATGCCAGCATCAGCCAGGTCAATAAACAATATTTACAGAACTACTACACATTTACTATATGCCAGGCACTACTTTGTGTTTTATGTGTATGAAGTCATTTAATCCTCACAATAACCTGGGAGGTAGGTGTTCTCTTATCTCAATTTTATAGATAAGAAAACTAAAGGGACAGATTGTTAACTAATCTGCACTAGGTCACCCAACAAGTACATGGCAGAACCCATAATCAAACCTAGGCAGCCTGGAGCCCATTTTCTTGATTATTAGCCAGTACTTCTCTTAGTAGGTGCTCAACAAATATTTCTTGACCAAATAAACAAATGAGAAGAACAGGCTTAGGGGACATGTTAAGTTTGAAGTACTCAGAGAAGGCTATGACGTACAGAGGGATAGTTATTATAACAAGCATGCAGAAGGGGCACCTCGGTGGCTAAGTGTCGGCCTTTGGCTCAGTTTATGATCCTGGAGTCCTAGGATCAAGCCCCGCATGAGGCTAACTGTTCAGGAAGGAGTCTGCGTCTCCCTCTTCCCACCCTCCACCCCCACCCCTGGCCCCATCTAATGTTTTCTCCCTCTCTCTCTTTCAAATAAATACATAAATAAAATCTTTTTTAAAAAATAAGCATGCAGAAGTCATCAGCTTCTACTGGAAACAACATGTAAAATGCAAGCCCCTTTGTAATAAAAAGTGATCATATAATTTTTTAAAAATTGGAAATGCTCTTAAACTATAAACTTTTTGATCTAATTCTGCAATATAAAAATGTTTTCACAAAGCAGAGAGCCCCATTGAGTCTTGACTGTATCTGAAAAATTCTGTATTACTAATATGAAATTAAATACTTGTCACTAAGCAGCATTCAGTATCTATATAAATATTAAACTTATACTTTATTAAAATATAGATGTACCAAGATGTACTTTTAATTTGGCAGAATGGTACCAAAATCCACCTAAAAAAATACAAGAAAATATGGGAACAATAAGAAAATACCTAAAAAGAAGAATAGAACCACACTTTACCTACTTGATATCCAAACATAGTTTAAAGTTAGAGAAATTAAGATAATGTGTAGAGTTCCAGTCAAAGACAGAACAATGGAAAAAAGAAAAAGAAAAAAACAAAAAAAAACCAGAGTCCAAGCAAAATCAAGTATGTATAAATTGTAAAATTAAATGTAAGAACAAATTTTAAATTATATATACATATTTTTATTATCTAACTTATAAGCATCACAAATGCTTTTCTAAGTATCACAAATAAACTAGAAACTTTAAAAGAAAAAGATTTCAAAAGTAAAATAATTAGAATTATTTCATGGAAAAACAGCATTAAAAGTTAAAAAGACAAATTTCAAAATGAGAGTCAATGCTTACAAAATACATGAGAGTTAAAAAACCTAAGAAGTAATTCCTTTAAAATTATTAAGGGATTATCATAACCAATAACAAGCTACTTAAAAGAGATTAAACAATGGACACTACACATATAAAAAATCCTCAACATCAACAGAATTCAATTACAAACAAAATAATGAAGAATCACTTTTGCAATCAGATTGGATGGAATAAAAGACGGGAAGTGGGTGCTCGCAAACACTGTTAGTAAGAAAGAAAATGGGCACAACTTTTCTGAAGAGCAATTCAGGAATTATAAAGTAATTGTGGTTAAATAACCTAATTCTAAAAAGTCAGATTTACAGGATAATCAGACAAGCATATAAAGATTTGTTCACAAGGGCATTCTTTTTAAAAGTTAACTAACCCAACAATCCCACTTCTGGGCATATATCCAAAAGAAATGAAAACAGGATCTTGAAGACTTATGTGCACACCCATGTTGAGTGCAGCATTATTCACAATAGCTAAGAGGTAGAAGCAATCTAAATGTCTATTGGCAGAGGAACGGATAAATAAAATACACACACACACACACACACACACACACACACAGGAATATTATTCAGCTTTGAAAAGGGAAATCCAGTCATATGCTACAACACTGTTGAACCTTGAGGGTACAATGGTAAGTCAAATAAGCCAGTCAAAGAAGGACCAATACTGCATGAGTCCACCAATACAAGATACCTCAAGTGTGTGAACTCTTAAAAAAAAGTAAAACGGTAGATGCCAAGGGCTGTGGGAGGGGAAAAAGAGGAGTTGTACAAAAAGTACAGTTTCAGTTTTACAAGATGAAAAAGTCCCATATATCTATTTAATGACAAAGTACATACACTTGACAATACTGTACTATACACTTAAAAATGGTTAAGATTGTAAATTTTATGTTTTTTTACCACAATCAAATAAAGTTCATAAAAAAATGTAAATATCCATCAAGTAGGACTTGATTATGTTAGAGACATACAACGAATACCAGACAGCAATCAAAAATGTTAATTTTAAAATGATATTAACATATATCCAGTCATATCCACAGCCCATTGCTGAATTTAAAAAAAAAAAAAAGTTCACAGAAAAGGTAGTATGATAGCATTCATGCAAATGTCTATACCTGTAATAGGTTTGTAAGGATATTCACCCAAATTTAATGGTATTATCTCTGGATAACAGTATTACAGATGACCCCCTTTTTCATATTTTTCTTGTTTTTAAATACAATGAGTACATATTATTCAAATGACAGAGGATACACCAGAATTAGTGACTGCCACCATTTGTTCCAGATTTCTAGAATGGAATTTTACATTTCTCTCTCCTTATGTGTCTATAGCACATATTGGGGAATTAATAAATATTTGAGAGGCAAGATGAGTAGTGATTAAGAGATCAGAAATAAGATTTGGATATGAATCTCAGCTCCCAAATTTACTGATCAAGGCCTTAAAGTCTTCATGAAGGTCACTTGAACACCAATTTCTTCAACTAAATGTCACATAACAATACTTGCAGATTGCCCCCCCCCAAAAAAAACAATGTACTTAAAGCACTTAACATCATTCCTAGCTGAGGAAACACTCAATAAACTGATGGCCATATTTACTATTCCTTAACTTGAAGAACTCAGGACACAACAAAAACAAAAAAATAAATATCTATAGAAAACTACACTGCAAAATTATACTGAAAATCCCAACTGCATTAAGAAAACAAGAGCTATATCGTACACCTGAAACTAATACTATATGTTGAAAAACTTTAGTTAAAATAAAAAATTACTAAAAAAAAAAAGATAATTCTTTGACTGTTGGTCCCACAACACTGATGCTTTACTGGGGTGGGGGTGGGGAGAAGAAATGGTTATGGACCATTTTTGAGTACTAATCCTGTACCTTTCCGTAGCTTATCTCCTTCCAACCAGTCTTTAATAGTGTGTTTGTATACGAGGGAGTTGTTATTTCAGAACTTCTAAGCCTATTTTTAGTCAAACAGATAACCTGAAGCCATACTCCAAGGACCAAAGCGGCTAAAAACATTAAAGGCAGCTTCCATGAATACATGGGTGCAATCTAATAGTGAGCAAGTCAAACGATAAAAATGGGACTCTCGGGTTGAAGACTAGGGGCGGAGAATGGCATTCTGGACTTAGGAACTACCGCCATCCCATTTCACCCACTCTTTCTTAAAACACAATTACATGCCGTTCGACTCTCTCTCTCTCTAGAAACTGACTTGCCCGCCACGCCACTCCAAAAACCACACCTGGTGTATTCGCTGCCGAATCTCCAACTCCCGCCACAGATTTGGCTTGCGTCCGCCCCAAGGCGGAAGTGACTTCAACCGGACGCTCTGAAAGTAACAGAGTTCAAATACCAGAAATCTAAAACCCCTGCGGCGTTCTGAGAAAACTCTTCTCTGACTACCCCTCTCTTTTATGCCTCCGTCTTCTGTTAGGGTGTCGAAAAGGATTCGCCACTCACTAGCAACCGGTTCCCCGCCCCAAACTCCAAATCATTTAAGTCTGTTCCCTGTCATTGGCCAACGAAGTGCCATGGGTATCTCCCAGGAACTACAATTCCCGTCAGGCCCTAAAGGAAGAAAAAGCAGGCAAGGACAGAGGCTGGGGCAAAGCAGATTGGGAAATGTAGTCCCCTGCAGGCCGAACAGAGCAATAACCCCGCCTTCCCCCCCCTGAAGCAGGAGAAACCAGGTGTTCGGCTTAGAACCCGTTACCGCTAAAGGGAGGAGCCAATCCCTTAAGCAGCATTCCTCACTTCCCCCCACATGTTGAATAAAAATGTTCATTAACTCCAAGAAAGCTCTATAAGTAATCCCTGAAGAAGTATGGCTGTCTTTCCAATATTTCCAGGTCATTAAAAACTCCACAGAACTCCTCCACCTCAGGTTCCCAACTCGTGGGAAAAGGTGCCTTTTTACAAGTGGGCAAAATGGCTGTCCTGTTAGTTTTGCCATTGGTTGTCCTTTGCGTCGTTCAAGGGCGGTTACTTATCACCGATTGGTTCTTTTTCCCTTGAGGGTGGAGGAAGACTTGGCACGGCTCTGCCGCGGCCCAGGAGGAGATAAAGGGGTGGAGAAAAGGCCGTTTGTTCAGGTATGATTGGATGATCCTCATGTCACTCGGAGGATGTATAACCTATGATTTGTGGACTGTCCCTCAAAGAGAACGAAGAGGCGGGGTTAGTGCGTGGTGGGAAGGGGCGGGATTCTGCCAGCCGCGGCTGCCGCTGGAGCCGGTGTCCGGGCTGGTGATGGGGTTAATTCCCTTTCGTAAGACTCTTATTTGCACCCACCCAGCCCCGCCGTCGCCCCGCCGCGCCGCGCTCCAGCCGCCTCCTCCTCCTCCTCCTCCTCCTCAGTAACGCGGGTAAGAGATGCCCTCCCCTCCCCCCTCCAGCTCCCCGGGAATAACGCGCCTCGCTCCCCTCCCCCGCCCGCCAACCGGTAGCGCTAACGGAGAAGGAGGCAGGCAGGGGAAAGATGTGTATGAGAAGGTGGCCTTCCCCACCGAACCATCGGCGCTCCAGCCAGGCCCCCGCCGAGGTGCTGCTGCTGCCAGCCCGCCAGGAGGTCGGCTTCCGAGGGAGCCCTGCTCGCCTGGCCCGCCGCAGCGGCTGCAGCTGCATCCACTACCTTGTGCCCACCGCCCCCACCCGGGGGCCATGTGAAAAGCAAACCCCTCGAGGCCTAGCGGAGGAGACAGGGGAAAGGTTCCCGAGTCCCTGCCATGGCTGCTGCTTGCTGCCTTTGCAGCCCCAGGGACTCGGGAACCAGGCACAGCAGGCCTTCCAGGAGCGGGTGCCGTGCGTGGTTCTGCTCTCTCGGGTGGCTGGCGCCGGTGCCTCGGGCTCCCTGGCCCACCCCACGCCTCGGCCCCCCGCCTTGCACCGGGAGAATTTTTAGAAAGGAAATAAGGCGTTCCGACCGGTTGGTGAAATGTAGGCATGTCTTGCCTGTTGTACCAGAAAAAGCACAATGGGATTATTGAAAAGAAAGTTGAATGACTGTCACTGCCACCGACCCCAGGGGTCAGATTTACACATCTTAGGGTTGAGCCTTAGGCTCAAACCTGTGTTTTTGAAGTTTTTTGGTTCTCTTTTTTGTTACTAGGTGCAGAGGAGAGTGCTTCTCTTTTTGAGCTTGCTTTTATGTAGGAACAAATTGTTGAGGCTATCTTGTCCCGTGTGTAATTGTCCTGGATAGCAAGTTAAGTAAAAGTAAGGCTTAGTAAATAGCAGATGATTTTTCTAATATGATGTCCCAGGAAATAGATGTGTATAGATCTAAGTATCCATGGTTGTAGTTTGCATAATTGTAATTCTGAAGAAACCGTTTGCTATTAGCTTAGATGTCATTGATTAGAAGAACTTTTGAGTAATTAAAAGGTGGTTAAAGTCTAACTGGAAGCTAACCGAGTTGTAATATTTGAAAGAGTAAGATCTATGTAATATTTAATATAGTTGGTTACCAGTGTACCTAGAGTAGCTGGACATACATCAGCTTAATAAAATCTGGCATATTTGAGAACGAATGTTTTTTCCTCACACATTAGGTGCTCATCTTTTCACACCCGTGTGGGGTTGGTTTTGGGGTTTTGTTTTTGTTTTGTTTTGTTTTGGCACGAGTATGTCCTTAAATAATGTATTCTGTAATTTGTAGTAAACATGACAATATCAAAGGTAAAATTTTAGGCCCACTTCTGAGGCTTAACTTGTTACCAGTGTAAACTTGGGTTCTGAAGAAATAATCAGTTTGCCTATGTGTTAGACCATTTCTTCAGGGTCTAAGGAGACCCTGTTTGCCTTAATGATCTTACATATTTCCATAACTCATACACTTGCATACAGAATTACATAGATCCTAGATTCAGGATCTGGAAGAAATGTCAATGTGTGCTAAAAAAAAAAAAAAGAAACATAACCCTGAAAGGTAAATTTGCTCAGCTCCCTACAAAGCACTGGTATGTATGTATTATATGTATACATATATATATTTTTTTCATGTATCAGCATTTTCTAAAACTTGTTGGTTAATTGATATAGAATTAATACTTTCAGATCTCATATACTTTATATACAGAAAAGGCTGATGAATAGGAGGCTTTTACATTGTCTTATTAGCTGTGGACCTTCTGTGAGCCTCAGTCTCAGGTATAAAATTGGGATGATAGCACTTAACACTTGGAGTTGTGAGGATTAGAGATGAAATGTATAAAGCTCCTACTATTGTGTTTAATGCATAGTATGCATTATTAAATATTAACTTAATGCATCTTAAGAGAATGAGTTTATTTACATGCACATGTTGCAGCCTCAGAACTTGCTCTTTTATGGTAGAGGAGTACTATGGGAGTTTTCATTTATATAGGGACTTAAATTCTTGCAGTTTGCCGCTAGCCATTTTCAAAGTAAAAGGTATGTGACAAACTGGAAATCAGATACTGAAGAGTTGTTGATTTTATAGAAGGTTTTTTAATTTTTGTGTTAAAATCCCTATGTTTAGAATATATTTCAGATGAATTATTTGGAATAAAAGGATGTAGTAAATTGTTTTAATCATAAATTATTATAAAATCTTTTGAATTTTACTTAGCTGATAGGTGTTTCAAGGTTTAGATTGTTTGCAATGCATATTCACTGTGCTATCAGGCTACTGACAGGCAACTCTTTAATACAGAGTTAAGATTAAGTGAGTCATTTGAATTCATTATGGCCATAGGCTGACTGCAGTTTTGTTGCTGTTTTTAATTCTCAGTATATATCAGTACTTGAGTTTTTCTTTTCTATGAAACAACATCCCAGACACACTGTTCCTTTCTCTTTTCCGGCACTTTGGAAAATGTATTGGTCTTCACACATAATAGTGTCTTTTGAGTTTGTCCTGGTAGACAAATTAAAGTTTAACATGAAAAGTTTTATTACAAAGTCTCCTGACAGTAAGGCCTGGCCAGGGTTCAAGGCAGCTGTACCTTATGTTGAATGGCGAATGAACCCAGTACAATTGGATGCTCTTTTGGGGAGCGTTAAGTGGCAGCAGCAGAATATTTTATAAAATTGAAATAAACTTTTTCAAAAATTATGCAGAAAAAATGCAGTGCCGGGCCTTTCCAAATAATAAAAGAGATTTTTTTAGTACTGGCACTTTAGCATACTTAATTATACACATTTAAATTAATGTTAATTTTTAATTCTGCAGAAACAGAGAAACACTGAGAGTTGATAAAGATTTTATTTTCTCTCTTCTTGAAAATGTTACAATAATAAGCACTTGAGACTTGATGGGTTTATAATACATTGTTGCTATTTGAATTAGAAAACTTCACTATTAACACTTCCATGATCTATTGTAAATACTCTGACAGTCTGTGTGTCAAAGAGTTGTGGCTACAAATAGCAGTCTGTTTTTCAAATGGCTCTTGTAGCTCCAAATCATAGACTCTATTTCTTTGTAGTCATACCTCTATGCATTGATGATAACTTATTATTTATAATTTAAGATAACTAAGATACATAAGGAGCCTGTCAGTTTTGTCGTAGCGTAATAGAGTATTTTCTTAGAAAGGTAAAATAGTCTTGCATCTGATCCTGTGAAGTCTCATAATGTTTATTAGTAATACAGACATGTGCAAAGAATAAAATCATAAAATCAAACAAAATTTTATTAAGTTAACTTTGCTTTCCAAATAAGGATACGTTATATAAATTAAGTAAATTTGTTTGTACCTGATAAGATGTAAGCATGTGTATCTTTTCCAGAATTTAATTCAATTAGTCATTGGGTGATGGTTGAAACAAGAGATGAGTTATTTAATCCTGGCTAGATTCTAGTTCTGTGTCTTATTTTCCAAAAGTTTGGTTTTTTCTCAGATTTTATCCTTGAAATTTTTACCTCTTCTTACCTTCTTAGTCTCTACATGTGCCTATTAACTTAAATTTTTCCCCCATGGTTTTGAAAGCCTGTACTTAAGATCTTTGTTTTTCTCTTTGTCTCCTGAATTGTAGATTTGTAACTTAAAAAAAAAAAAAAATTCTACATGTAAGCCCACTTCTCTTGTGCCTTCTTATTTCATAAATACTAAACCATATAGCATGTTTAAATGATTATTCTTATTGCCTTCTTGACTAGTGTTTTCATCTATAACTCCTTAAAAGTACTTTCTCTCAAAAAGAAATTAAGTATGGGAAGTAAGTTACATATGTTCTTATTCTTGACCTTTCTTCTTGAAGGGCATAATTTGATATCGTCTTGCCAAAGAGTTTATTTAAAGTACTGTGATTTGACTTCTCCCAACTTTATATTTATCAATGACATAAAAATTAGTTTTGTGAGCTAGTTGTACAGTTAACTTCACTAACCTTTCTTCTGCTTGAAAGAAATTCCATAACCGGTACATCACCTTAAAGTCTGAGTTGGAAGTTTAACTGCAGATTTACCTTGATGCCTTGTTTC